GGGGGGCTATTACTAAAAGACATCCTATCAAGAGGTCTCACACATCTTCAAAGGGGAGTTTGGGGGATTTTCCTAGCTCCACATTGGAGTTCAGAGATCTCCGCGAGAAAAGTTCGATATCGGATTCGTTTCAGGTGCAATTATGAGCTCTTCTTGTCGAAAAATAGATCGGAATACAATTTACATTGGAATGAAATATATCCTTGGGAGTGGCGAGTAAATTTCTGGGGGAGGAAGAGGGGACCCCCCCTCTCCTAGTTCCGCTACTCTCGCTCATGCCTAGTACAGTGGTTTTGGAGTATTTTACAAAACAGCAAAACATTTGAACTTTAAAAGTTAACAGCCGATGCAGAGCATCATTGCCGAAAGAGTGCACTTTCGAGTCGGTGCGTTATGGCATTACATAACTCCGTGGTGCGATCGCAATTCTGTGGAATTTCACCCATTCATCATTTCCTTCCCGTCCGCGGCAGCAAATGATCCAACAGAAATGCAAGGGAGAGGGGGGAAGTTGACCCCCTTATTACTCATGCAGCGTGTGAATATTACGATCAGGTCGCGTGATAATTTCAGTGAATGCCGCGCCGCGCTGTGCCAGTGCCGGGCCGGAATCCGTTTTTGATTGAAGTTTCGGACGAATCGACTTATCAGTAGGATCTAGTCCGACAACCATTTTGAGACTTGCCCCTGACGCAAAAATATGAATGTCAATAATGTCAGCCAATGAGATCGAGAATAGGGCACGGCGCAAATGCTACTTCCCGCTGAACTTGGTCCAAATTCGCAACAGTCTTCGTTAGATCCGACGCTCGCTCGCTGTGACGTAGACGTGTGCATTTCAACTTGCCATGCCACTACCCTCTCTGTTGTTTCTCCATGCCAGTCCAGTTGTAAACAAAGTCTGCCGCAGACGCAGTCAGTCGTGTGAGTGAATGAAATCAGTGGAATTTAGTATTTACGTCTAGCATGGAAGATTTATGGTGTTGAGTGAATCTTCGTCTCCTTTTTTGTTTTCAGAATAATTCTTCACGATGGTATAGTAATTTAACCTTTCATCTCACATTTATCATGCAACTTGCACTCCCAATCGCATTGTCAAGAGTAACTGTTATCAGCAGTACCCACACATGACCTACTCTAACTTGATTTTCATCGGAAACATGTGTGATAATGCATTTCCGTAAGAATGAATTTTCGTTTTACTGTCGCAAGCGTCGTTTTAGGTCATAAGAACGACATTCATTTGTTCACTGTTGACCTGCAAATTGTATTGAAGTCTTTTGAAGATGTGTCCTTACGTAGGGTGAGATTTTGCTGTTTTAGAAGATGAAAATGAGGATTTTCCATGCAACCCCATGCTGTGAGATTATTGCAACCATATTTCCAAATGATATCCTTTAAAAAGTATTCTGCTCCTCTGTATCTATGCATCATCAGGAATAATCACGACTCGTCAGTTGTAAACCTGAGGACAGTTTGCCAATGAAAACTTTAACAATAAAATTTGGTAGTTTCTTAAAGGGCTTTTTTTTTTATTGCGGAACAGGGTGGATTGTAGTGGAACGCACTGGATCAGAATCCTGAGCGATCCAAAGTGTTCCAAGTGATAAAAAAATCCAAACTTGGAACATGGTTTTATTTGTTAGGGACGACAAGTTCCTTGCATTAGGTTAGGATCACATTGGATCGCGAGCTCGCCCCACCTCGGAAGAGCGATCCAGCGTTCCACCCTGATCCACTTGGAACGCCTGGATCACGGCTGAGAAACGGAATAAAAAAATACCGATGTTCATCGCGTTCCACTGCAATCCACGTAAAAGAAAAGCCCTTTAAGTCAGTTTTCTAGCTGTCCTAAAATATCCTTAATCTTAATATCTTCATTCAAACCGAGGCCGTATACTTAAACATATCCGAAGTTTCCACCTCTTTCTAGTGAACAAACAGCGAAGGTGCCTGCCTGATGCAAAAGAGTGCTTTTAGGGTTCGTTTTTACTGAAGATCCCTTGGAAGTTTACACTTTCCAAAACAGGCACATGCCTGCAGCTAGTTGGGAAACTGCATGTCGACGGTGTAAGTCGGCAATCACATAACTCAGTTTGCGACATCACAGACTTCCTGTCATACCTAAGTACTTTACTTTTAAACAGAAAACTACTCTACGGCAATTCTTTAAAACTGCCGTGATTTTTCTTCTCTGTGCGAAGAAAATTCTGCAAAAACTTCAAGGAATGATGTCTATTCGTTCTCCTTTAAAAAAATAACATAGAGGCGGAGATTTTCAGACACCGTAAACAAGATATGTGATTTCAGACTTACGCCGTTGATGAATTCATTTAAATGTTGAATTACTTAATTGAATTTATTTTTTAATGGCTTTGCTGTCATCATTTGGTGACCAGTGAAATAAATTATTTTCATATTGTAGTTGATTAAACACTGACCTATAGATTTTTTTTCTTTTGTTTCAGGTCCGTAAAAAACTATTTATCAACCTAACAGCATCCTATGCCAGTTGATTATGGAGTGATATTCTGTACAGTAGCCCAATTATTTCATTTCTCACAACTCTCCTGTTATTAAGCTGTTTGTAAATAGAAAGCCAAAATGACGGATAATTTTCCATTTTTCAAGCAACATCTGAAATGTTTTGAGTCTGCACCAGTCATTCAGAATACCAACACGAGGACTGAGATTCGCAACTGGAAGTTCAGAGTGCAGGCTGATATTCCACCAGGAGAAACGATGTGTGTCATCGGAGATTGTGAACAGCTTGGCAGTTGGAAAATTGATGACGCCTTGGTTTTAACGCAGGAGAAATCTAATGAGTAAGTTAGGTTTATACAAGATTAATCAACAGTTAGTTTAATTTTATTTATTCCTCCAAGAGTGGGTCTCTAGAATCTGATTCAATTTTTAATTGGAGCACTAGGTGCAGAAAGGGCACTTCTCAGTCACACTGCTATGCAACGCAAAAACGCCGTAAACGCCACTTTACATTTTTTTGGAAAAAATGTTTCATAGCAGACTTTGTGTACCTTGGGACAATATTTTTACAGAATTCTTTTGCAAATACTATCAAAAACTTAAACTGAAAATTCGAGGTGCATGGGTAAAACGGTTTTTATTTCATAAAGTGTTAAGTTCCAAAAAATGAGGGAAAATCTTGATGAATTTACGGCATTCTTGCTTAGCACAGCAGCACATTGTCTCAAAATTTGCCGATGTTTCATTCATCATTAATAAGAAAAGTGAATGAATATATTTTATCGAAACTTTTGCTGGTATTTTTTAAGATTTCACTAAGTATCTTCCAATCAATGAATTCCAGAAAAGTCACATATTCCTTCCCTCTGTCAAATTAAATTGCTGCAACCAAGAAGTGCCCTTTCTACAATCAGCACCTCAGACATGTCAAGATTGCTCAGCAATCTGTGCATACAGCTTAGAGTCATACTTAGAAGTAAACTAATAATCTTTAAATGTTGTGGCTAAGTTTATTCACTCACAATATTCGCAGTAGAGGTCCCCGTGCTCAAAAAATTCCAAACCAAAAAAACCATTGTCAATGCCACTACTTGAACAGAATTTGATACATATTGCTTTTTGTGATGTACCTGTAGTTACACATATTTCAGGCAAAGAGTTTGCTTTAAGTATTCTTCATGAAATTTGTTGATAACATTTTTCTGGCACAGAGGTGCAAAAATCAGCTTAAAACTATCTTCTAAGTTATTATCTCTCAGTATTTCTTAAAGCTGAAATTCAGCTGGAAATTACTAATTTTGACCATTCAGTAACGCCAACCTTGTCTGATGTAGTATTAGTATCGCCAGTATTCGCCAGCCTTACAACCAAGAGGCTCAAGATTTGATTCAGTGTCTTCTTAGTTTGAGTTAGTTGGTTTCAGATGATAGTCATCTTGAGATAAGAAAGAAGGATGGGAAGAATACGCATGGTACGATATTTGTCTATATTTACCCATTGAAAGTCTCATTTTCATGACTGCTTCTAACAAGATTGAATGACTTTTTGGCTGTGCTAAGATCATACGAATACTCTGTCCGTCTTTTCCTGTAAAATTACATTTAATTTTGCCCGAGAGATTTTGAAAGACTCATTTTATAAATCAGACAAATGTAGGGAGTAAAAGTTTAACAATGAATACTTTTATTCAATACATCGATACATTCTGACATTCACCTGTTCTAAAACAGTCATCATCCCATAGTTGTGCAGCAAAGTGTTCTCAAGTCCTGTAATATGGTTTTCCCCTATCATCAATGTCTTTCATTTATTTGAATCAATTCATTCTTTTGATGTTAGGAATATTTGGTCTGGTATTGGCACAATTCCTCTAACAGAAGTATACTATCGGTTTTTCTCATGCATCTTGGTGGAGCCTGACAATTTGAGACACACCTCAAGGAAGCTCATTGTGCGAAAGTGGGAGGCAGATATTTGTCCGCGAAAAATTTCTGCTTCCAGTAAGTACCTTCATACTTAAACACTACAGTACAAACTCATTTATTGAAGAAATGCAACCCCCTCTCTACATCTGTTACTTATTGTTGCACTATTCCGTAGTTAGTTGATGTAATACTCATGCCACTAAGTACAAGTTTATTCAAATTATGAAGTTTCTTTGTTTAAAACGTTTGCTGCAAGCGTTTCTTGTCATTCATATCTAAACTTCAATTTTATAGAATTCCATTGAGATGATTTTCAGTTATCTTGCAGATTTGCGTTGAGTGATTTTTATTTTGTCTGTAGAGTTGCCAATGATTAATCTGTATTTTTATTTTGTCACATAGGTGAAACAAACATGAACGAAAATGTAGAATCTGAAATTTTTGGCTCATATGATGGCCAAATGGTACTAGAAAAAGGATGGCTAACCAGTGAAACAGTAGTTCAATTCAAGTTGTACAACAACCCAATTCATCTCTGGAAAAAAAAGTTGCAGAATAGAAAAGTAAGCTCCAATAATTCCGCTATGATGATGAGTGATGTTGATTATCTTATATTAAAATTTGTTGCTGCAAAAACAACATAAAATGTGTAGAATCAAAATTATAAAAACAAACTCATATAATAGACACTAAGAAATTCCAAGAGTTTGCAGGGCGCCTGTTCCCTTCTTCAGGATGGATTTTGATTCCTCTGATTCGAATTTATTGGTTTCCATTGTGAATAATATTAATGCTTTGATTTTTTGCAGATCCATGTGAAAGTAACCCCTGTGAACTTAAATCGCGGAGGCAGTGTGGATTTGGATAACAGCCAATCAGAGTCATGCCAGGATGAAGGACTCAGCATTGAAACAATGGATTTAAATGATAAAACAACTAATTGGCCCATCACGGAAGTTGCTGTAAGTTCTTGTAGCTCTTTCCAATTGAAAAGAACAATAACTCATTTAAACATTAAGCAGTTTTCCACCTTGATTGTTAGAATAGGCTTTGATGAGCTGCAACTTTTCTTTTTCAACCATGTTTTGTGATCGTAATTTCTGCTGGTTAAAGACATACTTTGGTGCTCATGGTTCTTTCATGGACTGTATTTTATTTTGAAAAGGGCTCCTCTTGTTGAGCAGCACTTGTAAAAATGGTTGTTACTCATAATCTGTGGCCATAAATTTGCACAAATCTTTTGACCTTTCGCAACTTTAAAACATTCTAAAATTAGTGAATCAATCATCATATCTTGTAAAGAGAGGCTGAGAAGTGGTCAGCTCTCATTATGAAATAGTCCTAGGCAATAAATAGTTCAGGTACAGCTGATAGACGGATGCTTTTCAGTTTTCGCTTATGTCACACACACCCCCCCCCCCCCCCCCCCCNTTTTTTTTTTTTTTTTTTTTTTTTTTTTTTTTTTATGGTTTGATAACTGGTCTTTATTAACATAATGTTTATTGATACATAGAGGAGAACAAAGAGCCGGTCATCTGGCGGGACCCGAGATATTTCTCGATTCGCCCACCTGGAGATGAACTCTCAGCCTTACAAAAAATAAAGGATGCTACAAAATCACTTTACAGTGTTAATAATACTTCTCAATTGTGAAATGGAAATCAAATTTTAACTACCCAATATTTGAAATATAAAATTTACAATATTCTGATTCTACTTTAAGGTGACAGGTTAAAAACCAATATAGTAAACTATACTGGAAAAAATTCCCCTGACTTGAAACAACTATTTACCTGTTTAGGTAAATTCCTAATCAAAACGACTATCTCTTGTGAGATTCAAAAAGATAATAACTCGATAAGAGTTTTATTATCTACTTACTCCCTAAGGAGTATGTAAACCTCGCTAATTTTTATTTCTTTTAATTTCTACAGGTTTTAAATGAAGAAGAACGACTTTTCAAAACTCAGGGACAGTTTGGCCATCTATATGATGAAAATGATTATCTTATTTTCCAAATACAGACTCTTCAACCTGAAACCACGGTAAATACTCCTGTCTTGCCATCAAATTCATGAGTTAAGCAAAAAAAAAGTCTGAATCATCCTTTTTTGTATGCTGCCTTTAACTTATCAGCCGATATAAGTTTCATCCAACATTTTCTTTATGTAGCAAAATGTCATTCTCATTTGGGCGAAGTTTTACCTAATAATTTACGTCACTGTTCATTCTCACGCCGTGTCTATTTAATAACACCTAGGAACGCATCCATCTGAATGACAGCAGTACTTTTTCAATAATATAGAACAGATTAAAAGCAGTAATACAATGGAATAATGGTTAAATCTTCATTATTACTATCTATTGAGAAAGTGACAAGCCAAAGAAATTTCTTTTTCCTTTGTGCTAAGGAAGTTTGTTTAACATTGGCGGTTTCTCCCTCCTCTTACGTTACTTAGTGGTATTGTTTTAAGGTACCTTGAAAGTTAGTGAATATTAAGTATATGTGTGCTAATCTTCATTAATTTTTTCATCAGGCTTATTTAATGGATTTTTACGTATACGGATCAAAGATCGCTGAAAATGACCCTCCAGATCACATAGGATTTAGTTACATCTTGCCAAGTATTCTCAAAAATAGTGAAGGCCAAGCAATTGTTCCTATTACCAGCGTTAGACAGCATCCCATTGGGCAAATCTCTGGTATGATGCTTCATTAATAACTTTTGGGAAGTGTCTCTCATCTCACTGCTCTCAATTCTTTTTCGTGTACATTTCACAGTTAAAGTGCGTAATTCAGCTAACGTGTACATTAGCTAGTTAATATATAGAATAATAGGCGGCTTCAGTGAAAGCTTTTAATGGTATGAATTTAAGTGTAACAAGGAAACCGGCGATCCAATGCAGCGCATCGCAATACAGAAGGCGCTCTCTGCCAAGAATATCCTCTTCTAACAGAGTCAACAAGACTGTGATATTTTTCTGCACTCAGCGTAAAACTAATTGCTTTTTTGGGGCAAGTTCTAAATGTTGATAAAACTTAACTCTCTCTGAGCTTTTTGGCCCATCACATGACATTTCACTAACACTTCCTACTTCCATTGTGAAGAAATAAATTTAAATGGATGGCAGGAGACTGTGAAATGTGAGCATCTGCTCAGGTACATAATCAGCTAACACATTGCCACCTAGATTGACAGTGAGAATTGTCGTTCAGTGTGAACTTTCACCGCTATGCTCACCTTCCACAATTTTATCAAGTGGCATTCTTCAGTCACTCAACTTCTTGCCAGCTCCTCCACTCCTGCGCTCGCATTCCCTAGATGCTGGTTCTTGTTGATGAGCATTATGCACTCGTCCTGTGAGCCGTTTGTTATTTTATACATAACTAGTTAATTGACAGAATATCAGATCACATACGTTAATGGTAACATACATATTTCATCGACAGAACATACACAGGAAGTGAATTTTGTTGGTCCTTTCACCTGTGCTTAAATATACTTAGGACTAGTCACGACTGCACTCAAGACTGCCTAACGCCCCTGATTGGCCAGTGGTGAGGCTTGGATTCATTGACGAATGTTGCATTTTGTGCCAAAGTTGCTAGCATGTTTAATGAATAATTCCACCCCCAACCTTGTAAAATCCACAAGTATGGACGGAGTTCATTGATCTCAGTCCCAAAATATTCTCCAACTTATATTAAATTCAAAATTCAAAACTACATAATAATTGAATAAAATCCTCTACAAAATTAGTGATTTGGTTCCTGTCATTGTTCCTTGATCGAGGGACAAATTTTCCCTTTTGCTCTTTATCTTTTAATGAAAGGAAATTTGGATGCAAATCAGTGTCTAGTAGCTTCAAATGAAATTAATTTTGTTATATTGATGATTGCTTTCTCCTTGGCTGTATCCACTTAGGTTCTCCTCCTAAGAATCAAAATATTATACGTCTTGTCTTTATTGTGAGTTTTGCCATGATAAATGATCCAAATTGGCCACAAAATTTCACCATGCAAGCTTGTGGAAAATTAGCAAGAATGAGTGGAATTAATGAAATACCATTTCTGAAATAAATGTTTTTATTTTGTTTTTAGTGTATTATCTTCTTGTCCATCCAATCAAAGACTACAGTTGTGATATGAACGTTTGTTTTTCAAAGCAATGGAAAGCATCCTGGAGTGGCCTGAATGTTGGTCACCGTGGAGCTGGCTCATCTTTTAAAGTAGAGACGAAACAGTGAGTTCAGTCAATTTATTTTTACCTCTATGGTTTGGTCTCTATCAAAAGCATCTCTGAACCCATTGATGTATGAACAAATTTCATACATGCTCGCCCAGAATTTGTCCGATAATTATCGAATTTTATTTTTTAACTGATGCTAGTCATCGCATCACACTGAACTGAAATGGAGATATGTGTTTGGATGGTTATACTGTTACGAGTCAGTGTTATTTTATATGGTCAGATAATCGAGATTCCATCAGTAACTCTCTATGATTGACAACTAAATCTAATTTTTTAGGTTAAAATAATTGAATATTAATATTTTGCTGTTCTTTTATGAGTCTTGTACCTATCGCATTATTTAATTTTTAATTCAATTAAAATAGAAAACAATCAGCAATCAAAGTGCTTTTTCACGGTTCATCATCATCAACAAATTTTCAAAAATTATAAGGTTTCTTAGTATAATCACATAACATAATTATGATCGTAATAGCAAATAGAGCCTTGACTGTCCAAAATATGTCACGTTCTTTTAAAAGAAGAGATTCAGGAAAAAAAAACCCTCCATCTGTTTAGTTAAGATCAGAACTCGGCAAAAATGTATTTCAAGAGGCACATTCAATGCAAAAACTAAACTTACATACTTTCATGCAGATATTGCAAGTGGCAAGTAATCTCTAAGGAGGATTCAGATTTCTCACATGTAAAAACGAGTAACACTTATGATGCAAACTTCTTCTTTCAAAGTTTTCATCGATCAGCTCAAGTTTCTCTATGTCCATCCTTTTTATGCGTCAAAAAGATCTCTGGTTTATCATTTTCTTTATCTTGCTGTGTTTGATTTTTCAGCTGTGCTGAGGTTCGTGAAAACACAATAGCATCCTTAAAAGCTGCAGCAGCTGGCGGGGCAGACATGGTTGAATTTGACGTTCAACTTTCAAAAGACTTAGTCCCGGTCATCTATCATGATTTTCATGTTTGTATTTCAATGAAAAGGAAGAAATCAGGTTGTGAAACAGAAATGTTGCAGTTGGCTGTCAAAGAACTATCATACGACCAACTTCAAATGCTCAAGGTACGCCTTTTGTTAGCTAATGCAGATTTCCTATAAAATTAAAACTGCATTTTCAAATATTATGCCTTTTTCTCTGGGAAGCCTATACGCTTTCTTTCTCAAAATCAGAGATGCATGAAATTTCTAACCCGGTTACCACAGTTTCATAAAAAAAAAAATGATAAAACTGATGAAAATGGGAAGGCTGCACCAACACTTAATGAAAGAGTTGACTTGGATTGACGTGAAAACCGTCTGTGATTCAAAACAATTTTGGCACTTTGTAAATAAAAAGCAAAAAAAAAAAAAACACCAGTGCCATTCGAAATTTTCAATGCCTTAATGTCGTGTACAGCTTATGTTCTTCCCTGGCTTTTTTATGTGTTAAAAATGTGTTTTTGTGTATTCAAGCCTCTAAATCAGTTCCACAGATCATCAAGCAGATGACACTCTGATCTCATCCCCCACCCCTCTCAGTTAACTGTTTACTGAATGACTACTCTGTCTTTCTCCAGGAAGAATCCGATGGAATAACTATAATGATAAAGGATCTTTACTAGCCTTTGCGTATGCTTACGTAAACCATGGTGCATGATTGTATTCTCAGCATCCATAATTTCAGGCAATCTTTCGTGACAGACATGCTTCCTCCTCAAAATCTTCATCTTTTTCAAAAATTTAGAGCAGTAGAGTTGTAATATAAAGTGTGCTACTGAATGTTTTAAAACTCAAATTTTTTAAATTCGGTGATAGCAAGTATTTTCTTTATTGTAGGTGTACCATCTGAAAGAAAATGAAAAGGAAGAAAACCGCTTTGCCTGCGATGATGCAGAGGAACACCAGCCATTTCCTACGTTAAAACAAGTCTTGGAAGTTATCGATCCACACATAGGCTTCAACATTGAATTGAAATGGACTATGCAACTAAAGGTTACTAAAAGCTTTGTCTAACTCTTCAGTAATTTTTCAGTCAGCTGCATAATGACCAATCGTAAAATAAATGCTCAAGTGCTAAATTATTACATTATTTAAAACAATTGATGATCTTTTTTATCATAAATCTCTAGTTTGTGCTTACATTAAAAACAAAGGTATTGTAGCACTATTATGTTTCAATTTTATCCGAGCACCTATTCAAATTAAAGCATTAAAGTTACCTAATTTAATTTAATTTTTTTTTAATTTTTTTATTTTTTTAAATCAGGGGAAAAAGTTTTTAAATTAACTTGTCCTTTAATGTATCCGTCAACAACTTTTTGGTGGCTCCTCTTGAATAGTTCAGCATTCTTATACTGATAATGGCATTTTTAAGTGGCTATTGATGCAAGCTATGGAACAGAAGTGAGATTTCAGCATCATCTGCTTGTGTTGTTGAACTTTTAGACTCTGGACAAAGTAAGGGAAATCCAGAAAATATTGTGTCCTGAAACTGGTGCAGCAATGTACTTCGGTGCCACGTTCCTCATTATTTCACAAAGCCTTTTAATGATGTCCTTGTTGTATGGGAATGCTGAGTTAAACTTTGATTGGATATGGTTAGGTTAGGTTAGTTTTTAATGAAAACGTTGCTGGTCTGTCAGCAAGACCTCAATAGAGCTATCGTCTGGGCTGAGGGCTCTTTTCCCTCAATTTTGCGCTGATACTTAATGAAATTCATTTCTGTAACTCAAATCCTTATTTTCAGAACTTCCGACTTGGATTTTTTTCCAGAATAGTGCAGACTCAGCACTATACCTCTCTCTATACCTTCCTCTATATCTTTCTCTATATGTACCTATTTACAAGACATAGCTATTTAATTTGACACTCTGATTGCAGGATGGCACATTTGAGCTTGATAACCCATTTGACATCAATATCTATCTAGATAAAATCTTGAAAGTGGTTTTGGAGCACAGTGGATCCAGAATTGTTGTTTTCCATTGTTTCAATCCTGACATATGCACAATGTAAGTGTTTTTTACTCAAATTTGGAAGTTCATTAGAGAATGATGCATTTTCACAGGGTATCACTGCAAAGCCCTGCAAATTATTGTTCCTTGAGACACATCCTATTGATAAGCAAGGAGCAACTTGACATTATGAAAAAGTTCTAAAGCAACGGATAGTAACATAGTTTGTCTCCTTCTGTTCCTATCTTACCTTTTCATTGGCTATAAAACAGGGCTGTGCAAATATTCGAAAATCTCGAATATTCGAGTTTGAATAATTTTTCTGATATTTGACTCGAACTCAAACGTAGAAACCTCGAATAATCGAATTATTCAACCACATTGACAAAACTTCGAATATCTAAAATAAAGACCGAATATCCGAACATTTGGCCGTATTGATGACGTACTAGTAAGAACTCAATCTGGCGCGCAGTTCAGACTTTCCCTTTGTGAGGTTAGGTAAACCAAGGCCAACGGTTCATTGGTTCATCTACCCCACGGCACTCGCACTATACGGGTCAATGCAAAATTCGCGCCTCTTGAGTTCCACCTACTACATCATGAATGTGGGGCACAAATGGGTGAATTTACTAACCTCCATAACCTATCCTCCTCCGCCCTGCGCGGCACTACGGTCTTTACAATGTTGCTTGACTGTCTTGCGACATCAGCATTGATATGAAGTAAAACTGAATAAAATGGTTTTTCGGACAGTAAGCAGCAGTTTTACAGTTCCGCGACAGTTCAATCAATTGCTCGTCCTAAATTAAAGGAAAAAATTTTCTCTCCCTTCTTTTCTTTCCCCAGCAAATCAAAATTTATGCAAAACCATTTGATAATTAAATGAATTGATTTATCCTTGATCATTTTCTCTATTATATTAATTTCTTTAATCAAAATTTGAATGTTAGAAAGAAAAAATAATTTTATTTGATTTTTACTTCGACCAATGAAGTTGGTTTAGGTCAAAACTAGGTAAAAACTAAAAATATTTGATTCGAATTTGAAACTTTTTCAAAATATTCGATTCAACATCAAAAAAATATCTGCACAGCCATATGATAAAAAAATTGGCACATATTGCTCAAAATTTTCAAAGGATCTTTTTAATTTTCCAAGATTGTCCTGCTGCACCTTATATGATAAAGTAGTGTACGATCCCATGATCCATGCAGATAGTGTTTGTTTTCTTAAAAACTGTGCGAATCCATTTTTATTGCAACCCGTAAAATATCGTGTGAATTGAATTTTAGGTTGAGACTTAAACAAAATAAGTATGCTGTAGTTTTCCTAACACAAGGTGTAACAGAAAAGTATCCCATGTATGCAGATCCTAGGTGTCAGACCGTACCTACTGGAGCCCATTTTGCTATCAACTCTGGTCTTTTGGTGAGAAATTTATTTCATAGCTCTCTTTTTTATGTATATCCTCCTCTACATCATTTTCTCTCATCATGGTTTTCAACACATAGCTGACCATTTCTGCTGTAAATGGAATCCTTTGTAATGTACAAAGATCTATTTAAACCGCAGATTTTTCTCAGGGTTCGTATCAATCTTAAAAATCGAGGAAAGTCAGGAGAAAGAATTTAAGGTCAGAGAATTCTTTTGACTCTGGATAAATAAACAAAGTGGTAAAATAGTGCTGGGTCTACACTATTTTGCAGAGAAAACAAGGCCAGAAAAGTTTGTCTTAGATTTAGCAGAATGCTTAGCTGGGCTTACTGATGAGTGTGATCTAGTGATGAGGTCTCGAAAGACCCAAAATGTTATAGAACTTTTGGCGTAACCTCAACTGAATATTCCGATGCATCTACCTGAGCTTAGCACCCTCCCCTCTCAGTCTTGTACTGATACTCGTTAGAACTCAACATTTTGAACTTTTGAAATTTTTGAACTTTTCTGTCCTTGTTTTCCTCTCAAAACAGTTTGGACCCAGCACTATTTTACCACTTCATTACATTCAGTTTGGGCCACATCTTTGGTGTTTTTTTTCTTGCATATGGAGAAGCAAGGACCCATTTTATTTCATTTTATTTTTCAGTCTATTTCTCAATTTTTTTTTCATTTTTTTTATTTATAATTTACCTTTTGAAAGCTAGCAGACGGATTGGAAAATGAAGTAATGGAATAAAACTAGGTGTGCCATTTGGAATTCAAGTTTCTTTCATTCCAGTGGTGCTTCACGTAATGTTGACTAATTGCAGTAAGGTTTTGGGCCGAAGGCTTGTATGCACTGAACAACTATACAAACTAAAATATAGGTACTCTATTTATCACATCCATTTTATCGCACTAATGTTGTTTTGTTTTTGAAAATCAATAGGGTATAAACATTCACGCTGAAGAAATCCTCCGTAACAATGATTGGGTTGCATTTGTCAAAAATGCGGGCTTGATTCTCTTCTCCTGGGGTGATGACAATAACGATGCTGTGAATGTCAAGCATCAGAAAAAGTTGGGAGTCAATGCTATTATCTGTGATCTGTAAGTTCAATACAACATTTTTCAAGTTTATCTGATCTAGTACAGTTTAGACGATTTTTCATTTATTTTTTTAAAACAATTTTTCACCCAAAACAATCAAGGAACCATGCAAGTTTCTAAAAAGTTGATTCCTTGAAAATGTCTCTTATTACATCACTGGGCTCTCGTCAAATATATAATGGAATACCTACACGTTTTCTGCTTTAGCTCTGGTACAAGACCAAACAAAATGAAAAATTTTCTCACAAATTTTTCGATCTTACAGTTCCAGAAAATTATAAATGAGCAATTTTATCGGAAGCAATTTTAATGTAAGCAATTTTAAATTTAGCATTTTTTTGCTATTGATTGGCTATTATTTCTTCATTAATTACATTCGGTTCTTGTTCTATCAATCTGTTGGTATTGAGATTAATTTGCTTTCTTGTTAAATTAATGTTTTTATTTTTCTTTAGTATCGATCGAGAGTGCCACAAAGAAGAAGGAGAGAGTGTATTCCTTATGGAAGGCAGTGAGTCTGAGAAGAAACTTTTGCTCAAGGCTGCGGCACAGCTCAGCGATCAGTTCTCAATCAAAGCTGACCCTATATTACATAAGGTACAATTTCCATCCTTTATCTCTAGAGTGGTTTTAAAGGGGACAGCAACCTTAAAAGCAAGTTTGGCCAAATCAACGAAGAAAAGTGTGCAATGAACGATTCGAAATCCATTTGGGAATATCTGTATTCGTTGAGCCGTTATCGGAAAAAAACAGATGAGCGTGTGGCATCTTGAGCTCCGTCTCGCATTTCGCAGTCTGCACTCTACATTCTGTTTCTATTGTCAAATGGCCGACGCGTGATCACGACTAGTTATTAGTTCTCCATGACCTCGCTTGTTCCTGGCCGACTCTTTTTTCTTTGCTTAGATGTGACTATTAAGGCGACTTCGCGGCGCCAGACAGTGAACACGCCAGATTCTGAGTTGGGTGCGTGTGAACCGCAGGCGCACCAGGAGCGCATTATGTCACTAGTCAGACTTACCATCCTTCATATCTCTGCCGATTTTGCGAATTTTTCATTCTGGAAGCCATTTTGCTTCTTACTCCTTCCCGCTTCAATTTTTAATACTATGTATCTCATTCTCAATTTTAGGGTTGCTGTCCCCTTTAAAACCAATTTATCAAGAATCAATGTCATATAAGTTGGCAGTTTTTTTTTTATTTTTATCAAGGGCAGTAGACCTCTCTATATATCAGCGCATTCCTGCTGTGCCCTTTATCAATCCTTGATTGGTATTGGACTGTAGCAGCGTAGTTACTTGCAAATGGAAACAAGAATAATTGCCAACTTATTTTAAGCAAGTTCTATCACTATAAAAGTAAAACCAATCAGTGAAGTTTTTTCCAGATGCATTTAATTCAACTTCATTCTATGAATAATTTTCTTCACACCCATAAATTCATAGCCACACAGCTCCTCTGATTGCAAGAGAAAACAATAAAAGATGAAGTTCACCAAAATTTTTCACTGAAGTTTGTTACTTCTTCCAGTGGCGCATGACCTACGCCCGGCATAAATAAATAATGATTGGAATAAATGTAATGGGTTACATCTTCATCAGAGAGGAAAATTAAGCCCAAAACAGTTTAATTTCTCCTCAAATTTGTGTATTTTCATATTTAGAACAACTCGAGGACAATCATTCAAGGAAGTATGTGCGTGAACATAGTAAATTTACCATGATAACACAAGTAGAATGTGTCAGGTACAAGTTGAAATTACAGGAGTTTAGGTTTTTTTTTAATGAAACTTGTTCTGCCAGAGACCTTTCAAGGGTCATATCCATCATCAGTGGCTGAATATAACCACAACAAACCTTGAACATGAGGCATGTGTCAAAGTTAAAATCGAATGAAAGCAAATATAAGCTGTAAAAATACACCACACACAACATGCTTCCAAAAAGTGATAGATGAGCGATGAGTAATCGACTTTTTCGAAGCATGTGATGTGTAATGTATTTTTACTGTTATATTTGCTTTTAACTTGGGCCCTAAAATATTTACTGCCTTAAACAAATTTCATTTTACTTCTTTTAAAACAAAGTCATATGTTATTCTAGTACCCTCATCTTATTTTTCATCATGATAACCTAATGTAGAATGCTAGTCCAAAGCCTTCAAAATATTGTATACAGCTACACAACTGCAAGATAGTGAGGGGCATTTTCAGAATTAGATTATCATGCAAAGTCTTGGATAAATTTTTTCTGTATCTTTGCAGGAGGAGAAGAAGGACAATGGACTTGCAGAAAATAATTCCACTGGTATACTTTCAGACTCAAGTGCATAAGATTACCTGCCATTTGCATCAAAGGTTTGAACAAGAGGAAGGCATGTAATGTAACCTGGAATTATTTTACTCATCCTCTCATTAAGTTATTTATTTCTTTCACACTTTCTTTTCATCTTTCTCATGTTTGCATTATCAATCTACCTGAGCAGGGGTGCAAAAAGTGCTCCGTTGGCCAATCCTTGGAGAAATGTAAAGGCACCCTAAAAGGGAAAAACTGTTGAAGGTAGAATGCATTTCTATGAAGAAAATTATCCAATGAATTATTTTCCATAAAGGAAACTACCTAATCTCATTGCTTTTGGCAAAGAAAACTATGTAAAGTGTTCTTTTATGCTAAGGAAACAGTGAAGCGCGCAGTCTTGTATGGACAAAAATGTGAAGGGAAAGTATGTATTCTTATCATGACAGCAATGAGAAGGCCGCCTCAAAAAATGTGGAGGCAAAGGACTTTCTACACCCCTGTACCTGAGATTTTTTGGTGACTAGATTTAATTCGTTTATGTTGTTGAATGTGTCAAATCAAGACTGAAGAAATTTAAAATTATTTAACTTGCTCAGTGTCAAGCCAGGCATAGCAACCCTCTTTAAAGTTTCTGCCACTGGCTGAAATGTCGTTAATAACCGTAAGCACTTGTGTGTATCACATTGCGAAGGAATAACAGTGCCATTTATGGGTTCATCATAAACCAATCATGAAGTACTTGACATTGATGCAGCGTTGATGTTACGGATGCAGCTGTAATAGTAGCTTCTAGCCTTTACTTACTACCAGACGCATAAGTGGAGATTATGTTAATACCACTTCTACTTGTCAATTAAAAAGAAAAAAATTGTCTCTAACTTGAAAATTAATGAATTTTTCTACACGTTGCAGTACTAAATAAAATCTTCCTGTTGGAGAAATATTTTAAATTAACTTACTTCCAGCTGTTCGTTTTCTTAATAAGAAAAACATTGGCATTCATAATCCACAGACTTATTTTGAGAAAATTGTTGATCCTTGTCTTCAGTTTCTATTCTCTTAGCCTTGAGATTGCTTTTTCAAAGTGAAATAAGTGAGATGAATCTTTTTTATGAAGTTCCTGTTTACTAAAGCTTTTGTATCGGCTACAGACGTTTTAGTTTAGGACAGCTTTTCTGATGTTGGACTTAATGGAACTCAATATAATTGTAGCTATCTGAAGTTTCTAGACAACTGAAATTTACAAGAAGGAGATTTTGTCTGATCTCAATCAACAGACTTATCTATAGAGTATTCTTTTTGTATGTTTAGAACTAATTACTTACGCTCTACCATACAAGTTTACTGTAGAAGTACAAAGTGCATACTTAGTTTATTTTGTGCTGATGAAACAATTGAAAGATCAAATAAGACCCTTGCAAAGTAGAGAAAGTAAAAAAATAATGAGAAAACAGGGCAAAAATCATATAAATTTAGTTAAAGTATATACCATGTTTGATATGCTTTTTTCATATTTAGTTGTAAATTTAGTTGTTCTCATTCAAAAACTACAATTCATTGCTCAATGATTTCTCTTGCAAAGTTTTGTAAAATTTGAAAGAAAATGAGAGAATATTCAATGTGTGTGTACTAACACTAAAAGTACATTATTTGTTGAATTTGTAACAAGAAATGCAGCTCCACTGTCTTCAAATCTGTTCTTTGGAAGTACTCAGAAACAGAAAAAAACTGTTTTTATTAATTTGAATTCCTAAGTCTGGAATTTAACCCTGAACAAAACAAGCTCTCTCACAAGTCCATTCTGCATTATTTTGATGTGAAAAGTGAGAGATTCACAAGCAAGTAAGACATCATAACTGCATGCCTGGTTCTCCCCGGCAAGCAACCCAGGGAGTTTCTAAGCGGTTGCAAATATTGACCAGAAGAAAGAGATAGGAAAGGATTTTTTTCTCTTTTTTTTTAAAGAAACAAATTAATAGTTATGTTGGTAAGTTTTGATGGAAAATAGGTCAATCTTGCTCAAAATGGGACATCATATTTTGACAATTTTCCAGAGTAGGCCCTTTTTGGTACTTATATAATCTGTCCCGCTGGTACCAACTTAGGAATGGCATAATTCTCATTATTTCGAAGCAGCAAAAAGTGAAATCCAGGTATGTATAACTGTTTATGCAAACAGCTGCAACTGAGGCAACATTTCAACCTCATAAGTGACATTAAGATTTTGCATCTTGAATGAATACAGTTTTATCTTCTACTTCCATTTCATTCAAGCCACCTTTCTCGAGAGAAGTCAATTTTTTGTGCTTTTTTACCCCTGTATTCAGTTTTTTGTTGAGTTTTAAATTGGATGATTCAAGAGTTTTAATACTATTTTAAGATAGCTCAGCAGTCTGCTGAGCACAGACGAAGTGTCAAATATGATAAATAAGCATGTCCTCTTTTTGTACCCTTTCCGGAAGAGAGTGTTTAATTTCTAATCAATTATGAATTTATATGATTAAATTATGTTTTTCTGGTGCTTCCAGTAGGCAGTATGGCTTCCTGGTGCTTCTCCTGTAAGGCGCCTAATGGAATTTCAGGTTCTTGTAACTTCTAATCAGAAAAAAATTTAGTAACTGTGATAGTAAATTGTAAAACTTTTTTTTTCTGTCTCTATAAAAAATTTAGGACTTGTTTTCTTATTATTAAAGATTATTATCTTAGATACTTTTTGTATACTAGAAAAATAGAAGCAGCCCCCATTCCATTCAAGTTTCTGAGACGTGCCTAATATTGTGTGTTGTACATAAGATTAACATTGTGTTTGTGTGAATCTGTCTATTCAAAAAATTCTTGCTTCCTAGAATGGTTAGAAGCTTCCCAATAATCTGGATGTCGGAATTCTTGAGAGATTTGACTGTTTGCAGCTTTATTTATTAATTCATTTTCTTTAAAAATATATCCATTTGTTCATTCTATGTTTTCAGTGGTGTAGTAAGGGAGGGAGGTCTAGGGGTCTGGCCTTCTAAACCCCTTCATGACTTGAAAATCCTTTCAAGAAAATGTAATTCTTTGTGTTTATAGGGGTCTTTACTCTTTACCCTCCCCCCATCACCCTTGAGATTTTTGACCATTGACACCCATCCCCCCTGATAAATTTCCATCTATATCACTGTATGTTTTTTTCATATATCCTTGCTAGTTCGACTTTACTGTATTTTGATTCCATGAAGATAATTTTGAAGTGCTAGATTCAGACGAATCGAGTTTGAATTTTTTTTTTAGTTTTGTTTGATTTCCTTAGCTCTTAGAGTCAGATTCAAATGTATCCTTCTTTAGTTAAGTTGCATGGTTTGTGAAGATAAGGAGTGTCTTCCTTGTTTGTATGTTAAATGTTTGGTGCAAAGGTGAAACAAGTAATTTTCCTGGGAGTATGAAAGTGACTTTAATATCCAGCAACATAGTCTTTGTAGCAATATTTAATGTTACAAAAACTGCTCATCTTAGTCTCAAATCAATGAAGCATCAACCTGCAAGACTTACGAAACAAACAAATTTTTAGGAAACTCATGTAAACATACTTGAGGACTACCGATGTTGCATTACATTCCAAACACCAAATCCAGCCTGATTTTTCTTGACTATGGTTATAAAGCCATACTAGTTGCACACTTGTGCACCAGATACTTTCAGAGAGAAACTAATGACTCGCTTTCTCAGAGCAACGTCACTGAGTTTGGCATCTGTATTTCAAGCTCAAAGTCTATCACAACTTCTCTCCTAGAAAATCCAGCTTCACATGATTTTCATCTATATGTAGGCATAATCTCCTTTGAAAATTATACTTGTAAATAACCTTTACCGGGTTTATCAGTATGTGTCACAGTGTTTCTTGAGTCTGATCTAGTGTGTCAGTTATAAAAGGAATTTTTTATGAAAAGAATATATTTTTTTCAGAATGTATCAATAAATCAGAATTTAGTTTTTTGTAAATAAGACTTTCGTTAATATTGAAAAAGTTACTACAAACAATTTTATTATTGTTAGGTTTTTCGTATCTCTGGAGCTGTTAGTATCTTAAAATACATAAGATCTGCTTTAACAGGATTTTGAATCAGTATTCGTTCTTGTGTTGTAATGGCTGACGTGTGTGATGAATCCTCAGTATCAGATCAGATTTTTTTCAAGACTTAAAATAACATCAGTTTAACCTGGAAATATCAAAATGAGAGTATTTTATTCCCAAGAAATATTGTAAGGAAAATAATGATCATGCTGGGAGTCTTGTAGGCTCCCTAAAGTTATCACATTATTTTTTTCCGAAAACCTTTTTTGAAGCTATCAGTAGTGTGGTTTCTCATTGTGTCGGAAACCGCCTTGCGGAAGCTTTTCAGTACTTTTTGAGATTAATACTCATTTTTCCGCAACTATCCATGACTTAATCCAATACTTTACAAAATAGGACGTTTCTGTAATTTTATCATAAATTTTGAATGATATTTTGCAATCATTGGTGCCTAGTCTAAAATACAAAGCGTTCAACTAAAAGTGAGAATACATCTTCTCTTTCTCTATTTTTTCTTTTTCATTGCAAGAAAAAAAGGGAAAACGGAATTGAAAATCATCTTTTACTGAAATATCTAAATAACTTCTGTTTGTAAAAAGTGTATAGACTTTTTCCTATTCTACAGAAAAATTGTTCAACATTTTCAATATTTTTGGTACAGCACATTGCGCATGCCAGCTAAGCCATTTGGTATGTTTTCTTTTATTTATTTATTTATTTTTGAAAACCCCTTGCAATTAATTAGAACATGTAATGAAGGCCTTGTTTGGTGTGAGGCATACTTATCCCGGTTTCAGAATAATTATCAGTTATTCAGCACTTCTCTTCAGATGGCAGCACAGGAATTTCCTTCTGAAAAAATTATCTTGGTTTTTTTGTGTAATCTCTATGACTCATTCAATACTAGCGCTAGATTTTATTTTTGGTTTCTCTAAAGTCATTGGTGCTGCCATTTTTTGTGTTATCAAGGATAAAAAAAGAAATGTGTCATGGTCTGAGCCTGTAATCAGGTCAAATAGAAGCTTCAACCATGTACGCCAATCTCACATTTAACTGACATCAAAAGCGCCATTTTTTTAAACTTGATAAAATGTATTATGTTTAAAGAAAGTAATTAAATTGATCTAATCAATATAACTTGAAGCAATTGTGTATAAATAAACCGTGTCAAACACTTGTTTCATTATTTATCATTTTGTTAATACATATTGAGTTACCTATTACTTCTTTGTCAAAATTATTTTATTATTTCCCGTCAAAACAACATCATCCCTGCTATAAAATCACTAAAGCAGTATGTAGTTGGGATTCAGCAATGATGATAACTATAAATTATTCTAAATAGCATCCTCCATTCTGGGCAAGTTTAAGATCCTTGGATTCCGCTCATACTCTGATTGTTTTGCATGGCTCAATTGCAATGTCAAGAAATCTCCAATTTATTTTCCTAACAGAAACTAATCAAAACGTTTCCTTCTATATGCATGCTTCTTTTTCAAAGTTAGTGAGGAAAATTCACAGAAAATTTTATTAGAAACTGTCGCAGAGTGGGACTGGCCATGAGGCCAATCTGCCAGTGGCAGATACTCCCCCTTGACGCATCGAAGACGCGCCTTTCTGCCACATATAGCAAAATAAGATGAGAGAAAAAATTATGGCCGAGAAAAAATGCGGAAAATTCATAAATGAACGGGAGAAGAGAAAGTGGATTGCATTTTGCAAAAAGGAACCACTAGCATTGCAATGTTGCTAAGATTGTGCAACTTCTTTTATCTTGGAGGAAAAACCCGATTATCCACTAATAGTTTCTATTTTACTCGCTAAAAACTGTAATTTAAGACAAAAATTACCATCTAAATTTCATAGTTTTTCACAATTTCCGCAATTTTATTGCAAAGGATGAAGTTGCACAATCCGAGCATCATTGCAATGCTAGTGGTTCCTTTTTGCAAAATGCAATCCAAGTAAGAGTAAAGAAAGGTCCTCGTATGCATGATAGTGGTGAAATGGAGGTCCTGGAACTATAAACTGGAAATAAGTCCTCAAAACGCCTAGGCCTTCAAAAATGCTGTAAAACTGATGTCCTTGTTTTTTTAATTTGCTGAATTCAGATAATGTGGATTGGTTTTTGCAAAAAGGAACCAAGATGATTCCAATGTTGCTAAGATTGTGCAACTTACAATCTTTGTAATAAAATCACTGACATTATGCAAAAAGTAATATTTCCAGAGGTAATTTTCGAATTTTAATTTAATTAGATAGTCAGCAGGCCCGGACGTAGGGCGTGTGCAGGGCGTGCGGCGCACACGGGCGCCAGCCTTTGGGGAGCGCCACGAAAGAAGAAGAGAGGGGAAAAAGGGGGGACAAGGAAAAGGAAAAAAAGGGAAGAAAGGACAAGGGAAAAAAGGAAAAGGAAACAAGGTTGGGCAGTGAAAGCAAGGAAGAAGGGGGGAAATGGAAGGAAGAAGGAGGCAAGAAAAGCGAAAAGAGAGTCCGCGAGCAAAGGGGGGGGGGGCATAAAAACCATAGACAAAATATAAAGAGAATTGCCGTCTAAAGGTAAATTTTCAGGACAAAAACTCCACCTGGTCCATAGACGGTCAGACGCCCCTTGACCCTAAATTTGCGGCTGTAGGAGTAGGCATGTAGTAAGGGGGCGCCATAAATCCATCGAACAGGAGCCGACATAGCATTTTAGCCCACATCCGCCATCTTGAATTTGAGAATTTTAAAAAAATGGACTAAAAGTTCGAGTTTCCCGTCGAAAAATACCCCTTGACACCGAATTTCAGAAAAATCCATCGAACAGGGGCCGAGATAGCATTTTAAGCCATTTCGGATTTTTGAATTTTGACAGATTTTGATTTAAAACGCGTGATCCCCAAAATCGAAACTCATATTCGGATTCCTCGTAAAAAATCGATGCGATTTCATGTATCATACCCTGACACCGAATTTCAGGAGAATCCATCGAACAGGAGCCGAGATGGCATTTTAAGCCACTTCAGTCATTTCGGATTTTTGAAGTTGAAAAATTTTACTTAAAACGCGTGATACCCAAAATCGAAGTTCAGATTCGGATTCCTCGTAAAAAATCGATGCGATTCCATGTACCACACACTGACACCGAATTTCAGGAAAATCCATCAAACAGGAGCCGAGATGGCATTGTAAGCCACGTCAGTCATTTCAGATTTTCGAATTTTGAAAATTTGACTCAAAACGCGTGATACCCAAAATCGAAGTTCAGATTCGGATTCCTCGTTAAAATTGATACAATTTCATGTATCATACCCGAGCATAGCGGGAAGGAAAGAGACGTAACGTATACATACTGATTCGAGCATATGAATCCAACGTGGCAACATGGGTAGTGCTCAGTGGGTCAGCGGAGGAGGAAGAATAAGAATTTATCGCGAGAAATTCCTCGTGACGAAAACGAATGCTTAGCGCCGGCCGGCGCCTCACCGTTCGGTTGCATCTCGGGCGACCGGCCGCCCGGCCGGCGGCGCACTATGGTCCGAATAGCCGGTTTAAGCGGCAATAAATCGAAAAAGTGAAGTTTGGAAAAAGTTAGATTTTAAGCGGTAGATCGATAGTACATACTGTAGAGAAGACTCCTGTAAAATTTCACTTCGATTAAAGCACTAATAAAGATGTGACAAGCCTGGGAAGTGCGGCGCGCGGAGCACTTTATGAG